CTGCCTCATTCCTCCTCCTCCTTCCTCCTCCTCCTCCTCCTGCCCCCTTCCTCCTCCCCGCGGGCCCGCGGAGGCCCCCGCGGAGGCCCCCGCGCAGGAACCCCCCCGGGGCGCGGCCCGCGGCGGGGCGCCGCGCCCCGAGGGGGGCGCGGCAGGCCTCCAGCACAGGGCACCCACCGATCGCAGCATTGCGGTCAACCAGTGCAGCAAGGATGCGCGATGTGGAGATTTGCACTTATGGAGGAGGAGGAGGAGGAGGAGGAGGGGGAGGAGGAGGAGGAGGAGGAGGAGGAGGAGGAGGAGGAGGGAGGAGGAGGAGGAGGAGGAGGAGAGGAGGAGGAGGAGGAGGAGGACAGGAAGGGAGAGGAGGAGGAGGAGGAGGAGGAGGAGGAGGAGGAGGAGCGAGGAGCGAGGAGGAGGAGGAGGAGCGAGGAGGAGGAGCGAGGAGGAGGAGGAGGAGGAGGAGCGAGGAGGAGCGAGGAGGAGGAGCGAGGAGGAGGAGGAGGAGAAGGAGGGGGAGGATCGAGGAGGAGGAGGATCCAGGGACAGCGTGTCTCTCTCTCTCTCTCTCTCTTTATGTGGATAGTTGTGCTTATGGATGGGAGTACCTTCTGTCTGGAACATGGCCATGATTGGGCTGTCCAAAGTGATGTGGCTGATCGACGATTTCGTGCAAACAGGCCACAACGGACGTGAGCCAATGTGGATGTATGGACCATGTGTGGATGCAAGGGCCTTGGAGGGCCACCTCGAGGCTTTTCGAGCGGGGCGCGGCCAGCGAGAGTGGTCAAGGATGGGCCGAGGAGACAAGGATGCAAGGGTACCCTTGGGAAGGTTGCCCATCCTTACCATGACGGGTAACTGTAGGTCGGGCAAGTCCTCCTACAGGGGGATCCTGGAGGAAAACCTGAAAATAGCCAAGAAATGCCCAAACATGGTCAAACATAGTCAAGCAATCGTCCCCAGACTATGTTTTGACTATTATTGTTGAAGATTCCTCCTGTAGAGGGCCAGGCCCGACTCAATCTTAGCTGCCCCGATACGCAACACGCATTACGCATACTTATTGTATTGATACGGAGCTCAAAGCATAGGCTGAAAACGTAGGTCCGACGCAATACGTTCGCCAAAACGTGGGACGTGTTGCGTTGGAAAACGGGCTTATGGAGGCAGCTAAGTAAACTATGCGGTAGAAATGATGGTCGCTCGTTGAAAGCGATGGATCCGCGTCCCGAGCTCTCAAGACGATCCGTGCAGGCAACCAAGGACACCAGAACGGTCCAAGATGCCTCGAAGACGGCCCAGGGTGGCCCTGTGGCCTCAAGACGGCCCAAGATGCCTCCGACAAGGCCCAGAAGAGCAACGAGAGGATCTTCAACAGGGCCCCAGAAAAGCCCAAATCCTTGTTTCTGGGTCGTGAATACTTGTCGCATTCTCGCCCAACGGCCCAAGCGGGATCCAAGAGGGGACGCCCGTTGGATCCAAGGCGACGTTAGAAGGCCGTTCGACGGCCCGAGACGGCCCCACGCCGGGCCCCAGACACCAACCATACGGCCAAGAGGGCCCCAAAGCGGCCCTAGAGAGCCCCAAGACTGCGTAAGAGGGCCCCAAGACGGCCCAAGAGGGCCCCACGGGACCCCCAAAACTGCCTCACATGAGGCCAAGACAGCCCCAAGACGGCTAAATCCCGTTCCATGAGAGGTCCTCAAATAGCCCAGACAAAAGGTGTCACACGCGACGGTCTTCCTCTGTCTCGACCTCCTCCAACATGATCGTCTCTACCAATACAAATCACCACTAACCTTATCCTCATCCTCATCGTGATCCGCTCCATGCTCGTCACCGGCATCATCATCACCAGAAGCCTCATCATCATTGGCACCATCCACCACATCATCAGTGTCATAACCATCACCATCAACAACATCAACATTATCATTATCGTTGCCGGTATCATATTACTAAAAATTCGTCATCGCCATTACCATGACAAATTCCATCATAACCGTCATCAGCATTAATTACATCAACATCACCACCACCACAATGATTATCATTATCATCATCATCATTCCCAGCATCGTCAACATCATCATCATCAGCATCATCATAATACTCATCGTCGGCATCATCCTCATCATCAGCATTATCATGACTATTGTCATCATCATCATCCTTACCATAATCATCACCACCATCATCATCACGGTCATCATCACCGCCAATACCACCATCATCCTCCCCGCAACCATCATCATTGTCTTACACCTATCAACATCATCATCGTCAACATAATCAGCACCAGCATCATCAGCGGCATCATCATCAGAACCATCACCACCACCATCAGCATCAGCGTCATCATCATCAGCATCATCGTCAGCATCACCACGATCGGCATCGTCATCAGCATCATACTTAGAATCAGCACCCTCAACGTCACCACCATCGTCATCATGATCAACATCATCAATGCCAACATCACCAGCAACCTCAGCAT